GACTGGTGGATCATGGGGGGGGGGGGCGAGCTAATATATATATTTATTTATTTCATCTCACAGTTTGGCATCTCTTTATGAATCAGCTGTTCTGTTTATTCATGTTCCATGCTTTGTACATAAATATAAAGATATAGATATAGAGCTGTACATATATCTATGTATGCATATACGCACAAGCACGCACACAAGTGTGCTTGCCACATTTCTTTACGAATCTCTTGTTCCCACCGATGCGTGCACACGTGAAAATGTTTGTATGTATGTATGTATGTATGTATGTATGTATTCATGCATGCATATATGTATGTACGTATGTATGTAGTACGCACATGCACTTACACCCTATGTGCCCAGTTAGTCAGCCACACTAGAATCACGAGAATCCTGAAGCAAAAGCATCAGCCTTGCAGGGTGCAGGCTCCTGTTTAAGTAGTTGCAGAGCTTCCCGTTGCTGTTGGTCCCAACTTACGGTGACTTCTGAGGCGGAGAATCAAGAACTGTGCATGCGCATGCTCGTGTACACATGTGGGACTGTGTACGTAGAAAGCATACCTACATGAATGCAAAGGCACAGGCCCCGCCATCGAGCTGCTTGGCGACAGCTTCGCCACCATTGACGAGGAGGCCAGAAAAAGGATGTTACTTGCGTTTCACTTCCCGACCACGTGACGTAAGAGGACGGGCCAGACTGGCGGGGGAGTTCTTTTCGTTCAGAAGCCCCATCAGCCACGGTTGTCCATGTCGTTTCTCTTGCCTCGCCGCATGGACATCATGATCTGTTAGGGTTTGCGACTGCATCGGGCAGGACAGCAGTAGTGATTCGTCCTTCGGCGACCAAGACGAAGAGGCATTCCCAATGCCGTGTCAAGGCTGCAAGTTTCTGGCTTATTCTGGCTTTCAGATACGGGAGTCTGTGCAGTGAATCTGATTGCTCTGAGGCGTGGTCCACGACGTTTGTCGAAATTTTCCCGACACAGCAACTCCTCACGAATAAGCATGTTTGCAGGTTGCTGTTGTTTGTGCTTCTTCACTCTGAGCATGTCTGAGAATTTGAGTGTCCAGGTGTCGATGAACAGATGAAAAAGAAAACGCAAAGCCTTCTGCCGGACATTCATCTGGTGCTGGAGCGCTTGCGTAGTGGTGCTGAAGGCCTCGGGACATGCACGGGGAGATGCAGGGTGTGAGGAATAGCGAACAGACTTGCGAAGAGCACAGATCCTGAGCGACACAGTAAGTCTGTCAGTTGACCCTACTAGTACAGGTTTAGGACACGGTACCTAGCATGACCGCTGTGAGCTTGACATCTCGAAGTCCAGATGCAGATGTTGTGGAAAGATTTTAGTTTTCACTTCCCTGAGCCACATACCCATGCTACTATCCAGAGTAAGCTCGCATGTTGTTAAATAGGGTCAGACATTACACGTTAGTGGAATCTCGTGCCGTTTCTATCTCTTACGAACTGAAACACCCCTCAAGTCGAGTATGTCGAGTAGGAGTTGATGCTTAAGCCCAAAGCTTTGCACCATTCAGCCCTCGCTTCGGTTGTCCGCACTTCGCTAGCCGAAACCCAGCTGTCTCCCGTGATGGAGACATGTGGAGACGCCCAGAGCCTCCTGGCACGTCAGAGCAGAGAAAGTCCTGACCCATCGCAGCCTTCCGATGTCTGAGCGATATTTAGTGAACTTTCATGCCAATGTAGACAGGGGCCCTACGATCGTATCTAGAGCAACTGCGCACTCTTTGTGTATTCCCAGCAGCTCAGGCACCCCATACCACGAAGTGTATATTCTGATCTTACAACAGACTGCCTGCTTCATGTCTCAGGCTGCAGGGTGGAGTGCTCGATTCGGCACCTGACGGATCCAGTTTTGTGTCCAGCCCTGCATCACAAACAAGACTTCGCTTCTCAAAGAGGTCGTTGAGTGTGTAGACTGTAGACATTTCCAGCCATGGGGCTTACCATGCGCAGCGCAGAAGACGGCAAGCAGCAGGGGGGCAAGCTCCCAAAACCTCCGCCCCCTTAACTGTAAGCCCTCCATACTCAGTATGTCAACCTCACCATCAAAAATGAGGTCATTGCCTGAAAGATCACAGACAAAACCACATGAAATAACATGAATATTGAATCATAATCGTACATAATATAAAAGTTTGGTATATCGTATTATGAAATATTATACGTTGTGTAGTATCACACTATGTGATATTTCACAATATTACGTAGTGTTATATAATTTAAGATACCTGTACATATGCATACATATGGATACATGTATACGTGTATATGTGTATGTATCTATATGCACATGCGCACGGGCGGGAGGCCTCTCTGAGTCCGAGCTGGAGCGCTTCAATGTGGCCTTCTTCCGCTTCAAAGACCCCGACGGGCCCGAGATGCACAAGGCCTCCCGGGACTGGGGCTCCCCAATTATTGGGCTTGGAGCTTAGGGCTCCGGGTGGCAAAAATAGTGGTTCCGGGACTCCAGGAATTGTAGGGTTCTGAATGGTCCTTGCAATTATGGGGGGCGAGGCTGCGCATCCCTTGCGGCATCAACGTAGGTATTGTGAAAATAAATGCAGTCGCGAGACCTGCAACTTCGGATCGAGTACAAAGGAAGAAGGGACTCGCGACAGAGATGTGACACTCGCAGTGTTTGTAGTTCCAATAGGCAGGATGCAAACAGGCACTCATGCAGCAAGCTAGAAGAGTATGCTGGGGGTTTCTGGTGTTTTGGAGGAAACTGCAACCTGTGCGGACATCAGGCTTGTCGTAGGCGGAGGGGCCTGCGCTTTAATCGATACTCCTGTGCCATCTTGACTTCTTCAATATGCAGAGTCGAAGCCGCCTTAAACTCACGAGCTGTGTGACGTTGACGCTAAATGGGATCGCATTGGCAGGACGAGCTGCCGCAGGTGCTCGAGTTCCTCGGATTCCCACTGCCGGACCCAGCAACGTGCCGCGAGATCGCGGATACACGGATGGAGATATTCAGATTGTTGCGTTTGAGCCGTTGCAACCAAAGTCAAGCTAGGGAAGGCAAGCCTTGCAGCCAGTTGCCGTCGTCTTTCTTCCAGTCCCTGGTTGTCCAGCCATCAGCGATGCTGATCGGGCGTCCGGTCAGTGATGATGCCTGCACAGTCGGACATCCTCCCACTGCCGGAGCATTCTTTCTTTGCTGGTGGTCCTTTGCATAGCCTGAGCGCGAAGTCTTGTCCCCCGGTTGACTGTTGAGGATGGGTGTGCCGAGTACGAGACCCTAGAGAAGGCAGACTTCATGAGACTCGGCAGACGACACTGTGTATAGATTCCCTGTCTTCATATAGATACTTGATGGTCTCATCCCACTAGTTGCCTCTCTCAGAACGTTCATGGAGCGCTACCTGGACTGGGAGCTTCAGCGTTACAAGGCTCGGGAGTGTTCGGGAAAGCTATTGAAGTGTTCATGAAGCATGAGCACCACAACGGAGCCGATCCCTGAACACCGGAACTTGCATATGAGCTTTGTCTCTCGGCGTCACCATGTTCTGTGCAGGACATCTTCTCGAGCTACGATGATGCAGCTTGGAGTTTGATTTTTTCGGTGCAAAGTCACAGTGCGTCGTGGTTAGCACATGTGAAACGGTGAGAACTTGCAAGGGCACGAAACAAGTACCGCATTTGCCAGAAGGCTAGCTGACTTAGCTCTGTTCTGACAGCCGGGCTACCAATCCTTCCCAAGCGCTGCGGGCGAATGTGGCATGGAACCTAGGATGGAAGTGGCTTCCTAGACACGACGGAGCTCATGACCTTCATCGCATCTTTGGGTTTCACACCGTTGCGAAGCGACTTGGTGTCAAGTGCAGCAGAAGAAGGAGCTGACAATCCAGTTGAGCATGACTCGAGCAATCTTGAGCAAGGCATGGTGAAGGAGGCCCTCAACCTGGTCGACCTTGATCGGAACGGCACCTCAGCTCCACTTGGCCACAGGGTCGATTTTGCGAACTGCGTGACAGTAAGGCCTGCTTGATTTCGAGGAGGTCGTCCCGTCCTCAGCTTACGGGTTCACGCCAGGAGAAAGTAATCTCTGCGGGCTGCAGGTTCTGCTCATGCACTGCTACCGGCACACTGAAGGCTTCACCCTGGACGAATTGCAGACACAGGGCAGCAGCAGGGGAGCGTCGGAAAAACCTTTGTAAAACCGGTCAAGTTTAGCTTCTTCCTGTTAAGGCTTGGAGAGGTGCACAGGGAAATCTGCTGAGTCTTTGTTGCGGACTTCTCGATCAAAGGACCTTGTCTGCCATTTTTACAGACGTGATCGAGCAAGTCGCGAGCCTCGGCTGCAGATTTCAAAGCCTGCGCCAATAGAGCCTACATCTTCTGCGGCAGGCGGAGAAGAGAAGGCTCCAATGTCCTCCCGGCAGCATCTCGTCTGCCTGCCAGCCGACGAAGAAGTTACAAAGTAGATGTTGGACTCCGGTTGGGCGGGCACACCCGGTAAAGGCCAGCATGAAGTTGATGCTTGCTCTTTCAAAATGGCAAGGACATGCTGGGCGACGTCCTGGTTCAATTTTTTGGTCCTGCACAAGCTGCCAAAGCCAGCGAGCTGCAGCAGGTACGTTCTTGTGCTTGTTCAGTAGAGGAAACGGTCGTCACGTGGCAGCAGATCCCAGTAAGCGTAGACAAACGCCCGCCAGGACTGCATTGCCAGAGCAGCGAAGAGAGAAAATGCAACCAGTGCCTTGGATGGTGTTGGCGACGCAGTGTGCGAACTGCGTGTAATGAGCAATGCGAGTACAACAAGCGGTTCGGGTCGACTTCTGGCTTTGGATTGGAGGCTCAGGTTCTGCCCTGCTAGATTGGGAAAGGTATAGTGGCATAGTGTGCTGTTGGGTCCGGAAGACTGTAGCAGCGCCGTGCTACTGGGGTGCACGTCGGGGCCCGTCCTTTGAACATCAGGTCTGTGGCTTTCGGAAGGGTGCTACCAGAAAGCGCCACGAGCATCCAGGAATAGTCAAACATAGGCTTTGTGGGTTTAGTTTAGATGCTGCCCAAGCTGTGGACATGTCAAGACTTGGGGAAGCATGTTTCTGCGACTGGGGGTCGGGCCTACGTGTCTCATAAGCCTGGATGTCACAGTGAATCTAACGGTTATAAACGGCTTGATCGTGCTTCGAACGAAGAACCACATCTGGCCGTGTCGGAGTGTGACAGCCCCGGCAAAAACACCACAAACATGTCAAACATGTTGTTGTGCAAGTGGTCTACCCCGCTATCCCAAGCAGTCTTTCACTCAACAGACCTCGAACCACATAACCGTGCGAGCGCGCGAGTCGAAACCCCAAACATTCATGAGATGACCACCTGTCAGTATCATGCCTACCTGCGACCATGGAAGCTCGCCTGGCTTGTCCGAGTTGCGAGAGCGTAAATCATGCATATGAGTCTACACCGAATACATCTCTCCCAAGGCGCCGACTACGGCAAAAAGTTTAGCCTGGGCCTGGGCTTCCACGAAGCCGTGCTCTGGGCTCGGCGCTTGCGAGACAAGGCGGCCCCGGCTCCCCCACGTTTCCCCTTATGGGGGGCAATTTCCTTATGGGGTTCAACTAAGGGAACACTGAGGTTATGTTGGTTTTGCGATTTCTGGCTACTTACTGTCCTTGCTGCCGCTGTTGTCATTCCCTTCTTGCTACTGCTACTATGGTGCATTGCATTCGGCTTACACAACCTGTGCAACTACCTGGTCACAGGTAGGTAAGTTTTGTTGAGTTTAGGTACCACTTTCAGCATCCACCAGGTCTCGGTTCAATGGGATTTTTGGGGCTTGTAGGACCATCCGGCGGACTGGGAGGGATGGATAGGGTAGTAAGCCGAAAACTTACGTTGAACCTCCGACTGCCCTGCCCTGCGTTGAAGAGCTTATGCAGGAATTCGTGGCCTACCGAGCCTTGGCAACAGTCGGTATAGCGAACGCATGCAAATTCAGTAACTGTGCATCTGGGGTTCCCGGCCGAGGTGAGGCTTTCCAAAAGTTTGACGAGGATGGCAGCAACTCCATCGACATGGATGAACTCCAGAAAGTCATCAAAACGCAGCGCGGCCTCATCCCTGCCCCCAACATCCCCTAAGCTGCACAAGCAGGAGCCGAGACATAATACTGACTTCAGCTGTGCGAGCTGAGGCTTGGATACACCATGACAAAATCCACCATCATGGAGATCAAGCAGATAGCTTTCGCGAGGACGGTGGCTGGTCCGCATTGGTGGCGCAACAGGCAGGCAGCGGCGAGCGGAGGAAAGCAGTCACAGGATCAATTCAGTTCCACCCAAGCTCAGGACCTGGAGGATGTCTGCAGCAAAACCAGCGCCGAAGTGCAGTTCGACTGCATTCTGGGAACGCCTTTGGGGCTGTCCGCATGGGCTGTTTAGCAAGACGTGCCGTCGCGGGAGTTGCGGTTTTCACCGTTTCCTTTGAGCAAGCCAGGCTTGACTCGGAATCCATGGACTACGACTCATTCGTCCACTTCATGAACCTTGGGTTCTGTCAAGACGTGCAGGTTTGTTGATTTCCATTGGTCGGTACCGAGCCTTATCGGAGTCAGAAACCTTGGGTGCGCTGAGGCTAATGCTGCAACAGTCCGATGGGTTCTCCAGGGCTGAGATACAGGAGATCAAGGCGGGGAAGCTCTTCAAGCGAACATCCTAGCAGGTCCTAGCAGTCCTAGCAGCTCTTGCATCTTTGCACGTGCATGCGACTCGTCATATCGACGAACTTTGCAGTCTTGCGCGTGGCAGCTACAGAGTTTGCTGCCTAATGACTTAACTCGTTAACAGCTACGGTCTTCAGGTTTGGGCCGATTCTGTCCTTCAGCAAAGCAGTAGGTATCCGCGGTGCCGCAAGTTGTGTATACGCGCTGGGAAACTTAGGCAGACTGGCCCCCAGACGGTCGCAACCTAATAAATGTTCCTCCATGCAAGGGGAATCGTCCGTGAAGCGTGCAGACATGTGAAGGCCACCTTCAAGAAATTCGACGAGGATGGCAGTGGAGATATTGATGTCTGCGAACTGTCGGATATGCTGCGCTTCCAGGGGCACCACACCAGTATCGACGAGGCAGCTGGGCAAGATCCCGTCTCCCCAAACATCCCCAAACTGATAGGATTCAAGACTCGTGATGACCGAGTTTCTGCGAGGACATGGATGCTGCGAAAGATTTTCATAGTCACAACATGCATTCCAAAAACCCTCCACCTTGATGAGCCAGCAGGTCTTCGGTTGATTCTTGATGGGCTTATACAGCTTGACCTTATAGATCAAGTCTTACACTACCTGTTTCAGGATTGCCTCGGAATGGAAAGGCAATAAGAGTCGAATCGTATCCCCTAAGTACCTCCGGATTGAGTTGGGCACACCAATCTGCTGGGTCAACTCCTAACTTGTTTGGATGATACTGGGCTTACAGAGAGAGGGTAGTTTGGAAGAGCAGCGCTTGGCTGCAAGCTAGTGTAGATTGTGGCTGGAGCGGTTCGTGACAAGAAGCAACAGTGTCCCGACACTTTTTGAGGTCAGGCGCCTGCATGCACGCGTGGACTTCAACGGCAGTGGTGCGCTGGACCTCGCAGAGTTCGTTCGGTTCATGCCTGCTGGCTTTAATTGGAGCTTGCAGTCCAAGCATCTGACGCAACATGATGTTGGAATCCGGGAAAGCACCTGTCACAAGGCGACTGCACCGCGAGGAGATGCTTGAATCAGTGCGACAGGCCGAACATGTCCTTTCCGCGGATGGCAGCTGCCCGTGGTCCCTGCCTGCTTGCAGGCCTTCGACACGCTGAAAGATCTGAGTGCCTTGGGAAGCAGAAGACGGATTGACACGTGTTCCCTGTCATGTTGTCTTACGCAAGTGGGCTCCCCGCGCTCAGTTTATGACACCGGGTGTTGGGCAGGTTCCGGACTCCTCAGCCCTGAGCGCATTCCCTTCGCCATCGCAAAGCTGGAATTTGCTGCGGAGGCCGAAACATGCAACCCTGAGTTTAGCCGTCAAGGCTCAGAGGGCTTCGTTGACCTATGGAGAATGAATAATCTTGCTGTGACGATTCGATGAGGAAATGGCTGACTTTAAGCTGTTTCGAGTTTGGCCGATCACTGGTGTAGCTTACACTGCACAGCGCACATGTAAGAACAGGTCGCAGTGCTGGCATTCTGCTAGCGCCAAGTGCACAGTTCTGTCCCATCAGCAGGACAGACGAATCGCCGTCGAGCCCTACCTGCCTGGAGTGGCATTGAACTTTGATGGTGCGGGCTTCAGGAAGCGTAAGAAACATATTGCAAGCCCGAGAGCCCCATTTTTATGGCCCGAGGCTTTGTCATGCTCTGTGACAAGATTCGAGAAGCCCAAGTTGCGGCGGACAGAAAGCGAGCGGGCTTCTGCGATACTTGGCTGCATTGTAAACAAAATGCACATAATATGTGCGCGCATCGATAGATAGATGCACGCTTAAGTATGTTTAAGTTTTACATATATATGTATGATTATAGTATGTTTGCATGTATGTATGTTTGTACATATATATACACACACACATATATATATACATGCATGTATATATATATATATAGATATGTATATGTAATGTAATGTCATGTAATGTCATGTAATGTCATGTAATGTGATGTAATGTGATGTAATGTCATGTAATGACTGTAATGTAATGTAATGTGATGTAATGTAATGGTATGTACTGGTATGTAATGGTATGTATGGATGTATGTATGTATGTATGTATGTATGTATGTATGTATACACACATACTTCTAGAGAGCACGAAGGGGAGTGACGATGGAGCTCGGACCTCTACGTGCGGGGGAGCGGACAGGCCAACATGAGATTATGTGAGGCTCTCGGTACTGTTGTAGGTTGCACTTTCTATACCTGGTGGCCGGCATGTGTGTGTGTGCGCGTGCGCCTGCTCCAGCCTACCAGATCCGGACAGGGGGGATGACCCGAGTGCTAGCAGCTTGGGGTTATTGTTTTACGAGGGGTGTTCTTTGGGATTGCGGAGCTCGTTGAGAAAGGATGGAGAACATGTGTCCTACAGATATATTCAGGGTGAGAGTCGGCGCGAGGGCCTCGTGTCTATCTCCGACAGTGGGGGCTTCTCTGTCCATGTCAGCATCGATTCCGCAAGAGGTTTCTTCTGTTGCAATTTGTTGCCCATATGGCAGACCCCGGTGTCTGCGTCGACTGATCGCCCAGGACCGAGACATCGAGCATTTCTGGGAGTCTCGTCTGACGGGTGTTGGGAGTCACAGTTTTTGCTGCGCTTCGGCTACGATTGAAAGCCTTGACGGGATCGGATCCTCTTAGGGGCTCTTCGCTTCGTTCGATACGAAGAACAACGGAGTGCTCACCACGGAGGAATGCACCAATCTCTTGTCCACCTTAGGCACCGGGGACAGATGGGATGGGAGCGAAGCCGGCACACCTGTAGCTCATGCGAGCCAATGCTGCTTTTGCACGTGCGTGTTTCTGCGGCCCTCCCGCGGAGCTACAGCTCTGCAGACACGCAAGAAGACTGAGAATCTCATATGCCGAACGTCGAAACAGCCTGCAGCAAATCTGCAGCAGTCACCGTGCAGGCTTTCATGTCCGGACGGTGGAAGAGCAGCAGGACCTGAAACGTCTGTTGCAGCAGGCAGGATGTCTCGAGAAGCCAACTCCGCGCAGAATTCGGAACGCTGTCGCTCCAATTTCGCCAGGCCAGGAACATCGCTGAAGCTGCCGGAGTTGTGACCCGGCGACGGATGGATTGAGTCCAAAGCAGCCGGCAGTGGAGCCCTGTACCTTAAAGCCGGCAGCTTTCTGCGTCTCCGTGCTCCTCAGGACACCCGCGGCGACAACGCAAGCGTCAACTTCTACGTTCTGCTACAGCTGCCTCTTGGCTGACTTATCGGAGCTCCATCACAGCGTAGCATGTCGATGTGACTTTTGTGTTTCGCATACTCCGCTGGCAGAAGCCAAGGCTTCAGGCGCTTTTCGTGAACCATGAGAGGGACGCAGAAGCTGAGCTGACACAGGCGGGAGCTCCGGAGCGGTACTGGTGTCAGATGTCAGAGGGTAGGGACCCCATCCTGTCGCGTCGTCCCCCTTGACGGCATGTCTGCAGGTTGCGGAAGAGGCAGACTTCAGCATGAGCGAGGCGGCGCGGGCATCTTGCAGCCTGCAACTGCAAATGCGCGCTCCCAGTGGTGTGCCCAGCTAACTTGACCGCTCCAGGTGACCGAGTTCCTCGATATCTTTACCTCGTACTGGGCCGAAGAGCAAGCGCCTGGCGAAGCCGAGAATCCCAACAATCGACTCATGAAGAAGCCTCTTCGCTGCAAAAGGCTCGCCAGTCTTGCGCCCTCTTGGCCTTTTTTTGCACAGTCCGACTGCATGCATCATTGCAACGCAAAGGAGCATCACCAGGACCGGCCCGGCTGAGCCATGACAGAGAGTCTCCACGTGCACAGCTTCCCCCTTTCTTGGCTGTTTGTGCGCAGGAGTTCGGTGTACAAGCTTCTCCGGGCGATGGGAATCCGACTAGACCCCACCCTCAAGGAGCGCAGGAGCTGGCAGCATCAGCCTCTGGACCAAGTATGCGAGAAATAGGCCAAAGAAAATCTCTAAATGTCTTAGGCTCTGCGGGTCCCCCGACTGGCCCCCTGAAGGCGGAAAAGGGCCCTGTACTTTGCCAGGACACGCTGGACAAGCAGGTAGCTCATCTATCTGGCCCGACCCTCGGATCCTGCGCAACTTCTAAAGAATATTGAAGCAAACATCCTGCAATGAGGTGAGAGGCTTGAGTTCCACGGTTTTCTTCGTCTCATGCGGTGGATGGTCGAAGTCAACTTCGCGCAAATCAACAACGGCTCCATGACTCCACTTATGCACTGTCTGCCAGACATGCCAGCCGCCAGCTGTGCCAGCCGAGCTTTTCCCACGATCCGTTCGCCTACAGGAGGCAATGCCACGTGATGAGGCACAACTCTTGATTCGGCTTCGTGTTTCACCCTCGACCTCCATTTTCCCAAGGCTGCGCCGAGCGCACGGCGGACCCATGCACATGTAACGAAAAGACTGACTTGGGCATGAAATGCTCGGGTACCAGGAGGCTAGGCGCTTGGAGTTTGGAGCGCCGTGCCGAGTGTCTTTGGCGCCATGTTGTTTCGGAGTGGTTCCTTGAATCGAAGAATCGGTGCAAGCGTGCATGTGGAATTCACTGCCGGCTGCTCAAGGCAGCTGAGGTCAGTCTATCCCGGTTTCGATACTCGTACCAGGTGAGTTTCCGGAAGCCAGGAGAAGAGCTATTCCTGGGAGCCAGCTTTGTTTACCAGCAAGTGCCACTGCTGTTCAGCAGCTCACGCAGACCTGGAACCCATGCATCCCCCCATTCCCTTTGGCTGAAAAGTGCGGGCCGGGGTGAGAGATCTCGAGATCTCCGAGCAGCCATGGGTTGGCTTAAGATCCTTAGCCTGGTTTTGCTTCAGAATTCTTTGGCTTGCCGCCGGTGGTGGCGGCGCAAAGCGGATGGACTTTGGCTGCGTGAAGCCGGAAAGTGCCCTTGGACAGGCCGGCGTTTCATGGTTTCCAGTGGTGACACGTGGACAGCCAGATGGAATTGCAGCATGCGCAGCAGGGTTTCGCCAGGAGTGTCCTTAAAACTCCTGTAGGCTATAGGGTCATGATTAGGCAACCCAGCTTGTTCTTTGAAGCCCGCTGCATCACAGCGAGGTGGCGGATCTTTGTGGGGCGAGTTGGAAGTTCCTAGCGAAGCGGCAGATACTTGGCTCAGCTCCAAGGGAGAGTCCGGCAGGATTACGATCACCGTGGAGCTGGAGAGAGACGGTGTCGCTGCCTATGAGCTGAACGCCTTCGAAGGGAAAAGCCCACAAGACGTAGCTGATCGATTCGCAGAGCTGGGGCGTCGATGCTCAAAGGCGAAACCACACAGAACTGTCGACTGTGGCCCCTTCCGAGAAGGCAACCTGCATACACTGTCCAATAAGATCGGAGAAAAAGCCTGCCAGCATCCCGAGGCAGAGGAGGCTAAACTTCAGTGTGAGACGGTCGAAGCTGGTAGTCCACTACTCTCGAGGCGTTTTAAACCCTTTAGGGCTACTATAGTAACTTAGTAGTAGAAGTTAGAAGGTTCAACTCATGGAGGCAAAGGTAGATATCAGTTTGAATGGCTTTCTTCCTCTCCCTACCTTTCTGTTTTGCCTTAAGTCCTTAGGCCAAAGACTTAACAGCATCTCCATGCCCTCTGTGGCCCAAAACCTTAGGGCCTGTGGGTCTTAGGCGGAGCGAGTGTTGATCGGGCCTTAGGCCTCGTCGTTAACCCCTCCCTCCAGGTGCCTCGGCCGACGGTGCCCCAGCACTCTTTGAGTGCCTCGCCTCAGGACAAACGGTGCGCGCCACGCCTCGCCCTCCGGCAAACGTGCCTCACCTTCTGCAGCCAGCAGGAAGCGGCTCTGGTGCGCGACAGCATTCGGCAGACAGGCCTTTGGCCCTGGCGCAGCTTGACACAGCGCCCCCGACCTTCGGAGCGTGCGCGATGCCTGGCCCAAAGGACGCGGAAGGCCGGCACGTGTGACGGTGACCTCCCTCATGCAAAAGGCTGAAGAGAGCGATGGGGGGGTTCCGACAAGAAGAGTCCACTTCAGGCGACGGGCTCCTCACCTCACCGGGCGCGTGGCTGTGAAGTCGCTGAGGCGTCGGTGCCGGAACCAGCGCCCGTAAAGGCGGAGCTTCCGGAGAAAAGAAGGAGAAGAAGGAAACAAAGGACAGGAGGTCCGAGAAGGGGCGATGACGACTACGAGGACGAGGGCAACGACGACGATGGAGAAGAGACGCCGACAGACGACCCAACGGTCAATGCCACTGGAAACGCCCACGAACTCGGCGAGTGACCGCTCCCGCAGGCTGACCCCTGCCAAGAAAGGCAGCGCCGACGGTGGGCTTTCGCCCCGTCAGCTCAACAAGACGGCCGAAGGCCCTGAGGTGCACCGTTGCAGGGTGGAAGTGCGCTGTCGCAGTGTCACTCCAGGTGACTCTTCAAGGCCACCTGGCACTGCACGTCGTGGCCTTCTGGAGTGCGAGGTGACCCTCGACCGCTGAGGTGCTGTTGGGTACCGCAAAAGAGCAGAGTGCTGCAGCGTTACTCCACGGCTTGCCTGAGAGTGAGGGGCTGCAAGTGAGCAAGTGCGTGCGTCCGCACCCGTTGATTCAAGCAGCCACCTCCTCTTGGCTGCCATGCAAGGCAGGGTGACACCCCCGCCAGCCTCCTGAATGGCTGTGCCCACGCCACGTCATGGGAAGTGCTCACCCTAACCAGCCGCCTCGTGGTGCTTATGTGCCAGAAGAGCTGCCGGCTCGGGGTGACGATGGCGAGGGACATGCTGCAAGCATGTCGACAACTCTCCGGAGATGTGCAGACACCCAAGCACGGAGATCAACAGCTTCGGGATCGAACGCAACCGGCAGGTACGCTCTGTGCCGGCTGTGCGGAAGCCGGTGGAAGTTGGCTCTACTGGCCTCAGTCACGCGGGCCCACGCCGAGCAACACTTTGGCACCCTGCGACGAGGGCAAAACCAAGGCCAAGGCCAAAGCTACGAGTACCCCTTCCTCGGAGAGTTCTCAGCGCTTCCGAACTTCCGTCCCTCGAGATGAGCTACGAGAGCCAGAGGACAGCACCGCCTCGGAAAAGCCGAACGGTGCAACGCGGTGTACCGGCAGTGCTCAACCGTGTGGTAGACAGCATGGCCGTCGCGACGCAGGTGTGGATGCTACAACTCACGCCATCAACTCCATGCCCTGCTCGCGCAGACTCTCGGCCTATGCAATATTAGTCTTTGGATGCATCCCTCGCATTCTGGTGGAGCTCCTGACAGACGACCCGCCACTGGCCCCGCACATCCCTTAATTTGGAGGAGCACAACCGCCACACGATCGTATACGTCGTATACTTGACCAGCACGTACGGCACGCCGCGCAGATGCGGACAGATGACATAACGCCTGGTGCTAAGCGTGCCGTATGGCGGTCTCCTTGATGTCATCGGCACGTTGGTCACTTTCGATGGCTCAAGGCGCAGAGAGCAACTTCCGAGGGTCTTCCGAGGCGAGCCGCCTCCACGGAGCTGGAGTTCCCACAAAAGCCCCTCGAGGCCGAACTTCAGTCTGCCCTCGACGGCTCTAGCGGCGCCGACCTGGCTGCCTTAGCCGACACAGCGGCCGCGAGTGCATCCTATGCGCCCCCGCTTCCTCCACCTCCTCACTCACCTCCGGCGTCCGAAGCGACACGAGGACTCTGACATGGCAAGCTTAAGGCACCAAGCGTACAGCGGACCGTTTCTGCTCAATCCGCTCCATCGAAGCGTGTGACACGACCACCGCTAACATGCAAGTCTGGAGAAGTCTTCTTGAGGCCACCTGGTTGGGACGGCTCAGACTGGGAGCCTGACCACAGAGGAGACTTCGATCGCCTCCCTTTGTGAGGTCTTCGCATCAGAGAACCGAGAGCCTCCAATCCCAGGTGCTGAGGATGATGGTGTGGAACACTGCCACTTGGCAGGTCTGCTACGTGGGAGACCAGAAATTCAGAGAGAGCGCGCCAACGTGGATCTGTTTATGGTCTGGCAAAAATGCCCCTCGGCTGTGGTTCCTCGAAGTAGGCAAGCGACTCCTCGCTGCTGACTTTCGCCCTCACGCCCTCGATCGTATGTGCTTTCTGCACTACGATAAGGATGGGTGTCTGGACTGTATAGCATTGGTGCACGTCGACGACTTTCTGGTTCTAGTCACCTATGCCGACCAAGTTGACTTGACGGCGCTTACGCGCTTCTTCAAGTGGGGCAGGACTTCCTTCGAGACCGACGTTGTTACCTTTCAAGGGAAGCAATTTCGGACAGTTATAAAGAAAATTGCGTTTTTGTCCTCCGGGTGACGCAGACTGAGTATATATCCGCACCCTTGCGCCCGGTAAAGTATGAAAAGTGACGCACCAGAGAGGTCGTGACTCACAAAGGCAGAACTTTCAGAGTTCCGTTCTGTCTGTGGAGCCCTTCAGTGGCTCGTGGGACAGACGCGTCCTGATGGTGCTGCGACGGTACGACACCAGAAGCTCTGACAGGCAACGCCCCTGGTGTGCTCCTTGACTGGAAGAGCACGCGCACTTCCCGAGTGGTACGTTCCACCTTGGCAGGAGAGGCGTATGCGGCGGATGATGCGGGACTCTCCAATCAACCGCTGTCAGAGCTGATCTTTGGTTCCACCGCGAAACTGGTATCCATTTTGAAAAACTTTATGGCATGTACACGCAACAGATTGTAAAAACCTCTTTGACACGGCGATATCTGCGAACTTTAATCCGGAAGAAAAACGAGTCGGACTCACGATTCGCGCCGTGCAAGAAACGATCGCTCCGCAAGATATGAGGGTGGTCCCCACCACGGCAATGCACGCCGATGGGCTCACCAAAATATCTGACAGTCTGTGCGAGACTTTCCGCAACTGGCTCAGACAGCCTACAGTGCAGCTCAGGTCTGACTCCTGAACGACAGACTCTTCGGCGCTCTCTGTCAAACCACAAGCCTTTTACCAGCCTTTGAGTCTGTGCGTACGGACACGTCCTGCACCACGAACCCACCTTGCAGCTACGGTTCAACCGGCTGCCTCTCCTAGCGTCAGAACCGTGCGGCGTGCAATCCAGCTCAGGGAAGCGATAAACTGCTGAACCCTTTCTTTTCACGTCCCACGGCTTTTGGCCCAACAAAAAGTTGGGAGTGTCAGTGTGGGCTGTTTTGCATTGGGCCAAACACCTACCAGCATCTCTACGGTGCTCCTTTTGGCCCAAAACCGAAGGGCCCTTGAGTCGTAGGCAACCGCCTGCAGAAAAGGTGTGCTGCGCCTGCTTTCGAACAGCCTTGTCACACCTACCGTTGACCTTTGTAGACTCCCCCGGAACGGCCTTGTCACTCGATGCCCGAGTCCCCTGAGGCAAAGGATGCTCGTGCGCTCTTCTGCCGCTACCCCCCGCGCTTCTATGGCCATGCCGGGATTTGCAACCAATACTCGCAATTCTGCCCGTTTGAGGAACTTCGCATGGAGAGCGACCCTTCTCTTATTGACACGGCTGTCATTAATGTGGATGCTGAGATGTTCCACTCAATGGAGGACGCGTCAACGGAATCCTTCAGATACGTGTGTTCTCTTCGTGCAGTGATCAGATGCCGAACAGAGAGGTTTAGGAGTAGCGTTCGTCCAAAGACATTCATCAGGAGTTACAGCACGTATGTGATGTGTACTGAGATACGGATATACGTGTGCACTGTTCACAATTATACACATGAGTCAGGTATATGTGTATGGGAGGCACATGCGAGAATCTTTTGCTGCAATGCACCGGATGGACAGGTCACATTCTAACCTCGCAGGTCATGCATGTGGGTTGAAGATACGGGCAGGGAGGCTTCCCTAGCACCAGTCGAGAAGTGTACTACAACAACACCACGCAATGCCTCAAGAGACAGGAGTGTGGCGTCTTTCAAAGGGAGCTTTGGATCTTCAAGGTGTTCGTGCATTGGTGCCCGCATTGCCAGCAGCTGATGCCGCTCTTGTACCGGCTGGCACTGGTTCTCCGACAGCGTGGGATCAGGGCCTTAAGATTTGGAGCTGTGAATTGTGCCACCGAGCATGAACTTTGCGCTGCCCAGAACTGGCCCGGACACCCCTTGCTGATTGCCCGGTACTTGGGACCAGATCGGGCGGTGCACGATGCTATCGAGCATTGGGTCGACGTAGTGAAGGATGCCCAGCTGCGGCAGATGCTGCCGCGTTACGCGCTCCCGGGAGAGTTTCCGGTTCTCAAGATTCTGTTGGAGCAACTGCCTTCTTCAATGCTGCCCAAGTCGGCATGGTCCTTCTTGTTCGACGCGGATGCCGAGCATGCGCAATCGTCTGGCTGTGCTAACTTGACCGCACTGCATCTGGAGCACCCGGAGGACTCGCGGGTGAGAGTGCGGGGTTCGGGATTGATTAGGACTCTCTGGGTGTTCCTTGCCCATGGCCCACGGCGTGGATAATTTCAGGGCGTGAGAGGAGAGCTGGGGCATAGACCAGTCCATTCTTCTGAAGCAGTTCGCGATTGTCAAGATTTGTAGTCTGGGGTGTGTCTCCAAGGGAGCTGATGATCGAGTTGGCAATGGCTGGCACGATGCCGAGCGTAACTTCACCACCAGACGGCGCTGGACCGACGCCATGCTCATGCTGAGGCATGTCCTTCAGGAATGGATCGCACCACTTGGAGATGACGGCAATGCAGATGCTTTTTCCCATGGGCAGTTGCTGATCATGGAATCCTGGGTAGAGTTGCTGGCGAGGAATCTGCCAGATGCTTTTGGCTTGGCCGATCCCTTGCAGGAACTTCAGCGTGCCTTGCTGCAAAGGGTCCGTGCCTCGCAGACACCGGAAGGCAGCTCGCTCTGTGCAGACGAGTGGAAGTTGTTGACGGCACCGGTGCTGACTCGAATAGCTGAAGTTGGCCAGAGAGACTTCGTCGTGGCTTCTGCTTGCGCTTCTGACACCTGCAGGATGTGGAGTTTGCTCCACACGCTTGCTTCAGAAGGCTTCAGACGGGAGCAATGGGAGCTGTCCTCAAACAGCGAGTTGATTCTGTCGCCCTCTTCTCCAGATGTGACCCTCAGCTACTTCAATTTCACATGGCGTCACATGTCTGTGTGCACTCGTAGATTCAAAACAAGTGAAGTTTTGGGACGATCTGGCGGCATGGCTGTCTGCATGATGGCCGTGCCAGCCAGGCAGAGAGTCCGGGACACACCTAGACTTAACAGAGCATTATTTGCCTTTGTCGAAGTTCGCTTCACCCCTGGAATTTCCAAGGATGATGCAGACTGTGCACGACTTCCTTGAACAGTTCTTCAAGTGCCACTACTGCCGCCGCCACTTTCTGAAAAATTTCGAAGCCGGATCATTTGGCCGTGATCTTGCCAAGACCTCCCGCCGGCAGGCTGCGCACTGAGCTATTCTGTGCTTGCCCTTAAAGGGGCAACGTTTCTATCTCGGTGTAACCATTCTGTAACCATCATCCGCGAGGCTTCGTAGTGTGCAGATGTGGAGGTGATCCTTTCATACGCATTGCCTGTATCTGCCGGCTGCAGGTCGTTTTGTACTTCTGGCGCTTTCACAATGCTGTGTCTGTCCGGGTGACTGCCTGGCATAGTTGCAACACCACGGACCGGCGTTGGCCGCCATCGTCGGTGTGCCCGAGGCGGGGGTGGGGCTTCCCCGTAAACAAATCCACAAAACACGCAGGTGAGCAGGGTTCCCCTGCGAATGGTTATGTTATACTATGTATATATATATATACAGACCCAATTATACACACATATGTTTTTTTATTTTTATTTATTGATTTACATCGGCCGAAGGTGTGTTGTTCTGGCCTGAGGGGCATGGGAATGCGACATGAGGCCGACAGTTTCAGAGACTCAAACATGCATTTAGGCAAGATTGGTAGAGTGGAGTGCTTCGCACCTTTGGCCTTTTGTGGTGCGCAGGTGCTGGGAGCAGAGTACAGACGACTGGCCGGTGCTGTCCGCTTTCAAAATCTAGTACTGCCTTTCGGTGTCGGTGGGGGTGAGTTTCCCTGATTGATTGGATCATGGTTGCACGTCGTTCCACTGCTCCTTGTGACCGTGGAGTGCAGCAGGCTTTTGGTGGAGGAGCAGGCCAAAGGTATCTACCATTGAAGTCCGATTCGGATATTCTACTAACTAGTGCCCAGGGGATTTTGTTGAACGCACCCTCTTCTGCTGATTCGGATATGCTCTGATCTTATCTGTGTGGCAACCAGGGCTTTCTTTCTGACCAGTGCCTGCGGCAGTGGTGGAAGGTTCTCAAGTGTAGTGCTCAGGGTTCGAGCTGCATGTCGTGTGGGCATGTGTGGGCCTTTTGACAGAACCGCGAATCGTAAGCCATGAATCTGCTGCAGGTACTTTCCTGCCACCAACAGAAACACTGCATGCCAAGGTCTGAAGCGAGGGACGTGGTCCGGGGTGGCGCATCTCGAGCACTCGACTTGAAAGCGTCGCCTAATGAAGAGGAGATTCTGAAGTTTCTGCAGTCGGCCTTTGCAGAACCCGACGACCTCTCGTGAGAGAGCAAACTGCTGCCTGGCTTGCTGGAGGTGTATTTCGCCAGGGCAAGTTCTGTTCGTGTGCCCGGCCGCGGAGAAAGTCTTGTCTCAAGTGCCAGTGCTTCATGTTGAGCCTCTAGGTTCGGTTGAATATCGGTACCAGTATTTGGATATGAGTGTGGTGCTATTGTGCACTCTGCTCCGAACTTTGGCGTTTCGGCTTCGAAAGGCGGCCACGCAGTCCTGCAGACCCACGTGCGGGCTGTTCCTTTGGGTTGCAGAGTGCGCGTGATGCACGCGTCGGGTGGGTTCAGGGAGATGTTGCATGAAGCCATGAAGCCTCCGACCTCACCATCATGGCTCCAGGGCTTTGTAGAACCCGTAAGAAACGTGGTTGCTTTTGGAAGCTTTGAACGTGGGGAGTCGCTGAATGCCGTGGGTGCCGCGCATCGCTCCAAAAGAGGAGGTCGATGCAGAAGACGCCTCCAAACAGAAGGCCGGGACCCGTACTTCGCCGCAGTCCTGCATTTGCCATGACTGGATTACCCTGCAGGATGCCCTGAAGGGGGCGAACTCAGCCGCGTCACGCTGCTCGGATGGTGACGAATGCACTGTGATGCCTTTCACACGGCCTTGCATCAATGCGCATACTATGGTTACCAACCAAGGACATGATTCTGCAGCCGAAAGAAGCTCGCTCGCAGTGCTGATTCGACGACAGTAGCGGGATATGATGTATGGGGGCCATTCTAAACAACGTAGAGATGCCGCAGTGGGTCAATCAAGGCCGAAGGCATGTCGCCTTCTCCTGTCGTACAGTATATACTTTACTGGCTTTACTGTGCACGATTCCTGTTCGGCAAGGCGCTGCAAGGGACAAGGCTTTGTCCTGCCTTGTGACACGAGGGGCCGACCTGTGGCTGGAGACTTGCCGGCACATGGGTAGTTCTCTAAATTAGGGTCCCTTTTAGGATCCTTTTTTTAATAAGGGTGCCGTACTATATTGGGGACCTGAGGAGGGACCCTATTTTAGAGAACCACCCACATGTCTGATGCCGAGGCCTTACAGGCCCCACAAGCTCTCAAAATCTGCGCTGGCCAGAGGCTCCTATTCCTACAGGGAGCCTACAGGCTACAGCACGCGACATTGGCAACAGCTGCGAGGAAAGGGTTCCGACAAAAGCACAAGCACAACTCAAAGAGGTGGCACCCAATGGGCCCACCAAATTCCGCTGGACTAAACTCTACTTTCGACTTACCAACCCTCTACCTCACAGGCCTCACAGTCCCAAATCCCGAAATTCGAACTGCAAGCTCCATTTAGTTTGCCAAGCTGCGAGAATCGAAACTCAACGCCCTTATAAATCTTATAAGCTATAAGCCTGTAGCTGCCTGAAGGCTGCTCGAGCTTTGGAACCTCGCTGAGAGTTGTTTTTGTACTCGGCCGCGCAGTGAAACAAGGATCTGCAGTCGCGGAAGTTGCCTGGAAAGAAAATGAACAAGTTCCTTACGGACGCGCTCTATGATGAGACTTGCTGTGTAATTACGAAGGGCAACAAGCACCTACCTTTTCTACGGAGGGCGTGTGGAGGTGCAGTGCAGAGCGCATGTTCTTCTGACCTGGGACTCGGAAGGGTATTTAAATAATGATACGGACCAACAGGCTTTCTCTTTCATGGAGTCGGGACAGGGCGCGCAAATTAGTTTTGGCAACGCACTCGGCTGCTGAGGAAATCCGAAAGCAGCTGCAAAATCCCAAGAAACCAGATCGCCGATGCCTCTCTGCTGCGATGCGCATAAAGATAGCTCGAAAAAACCACCTTCCTGGGGCATATGCTTTGTTCGTTTGTACTCAGGTTCAGCTATGGGTCACAGGATCATATTATTATGATTATTATGATTATTATTACTATTCTTCTTCTTCTTAATATTATTATGATTATTATTACTATTATTCTTCTTATTATTATTATGGTTGGTATTGCTACTATGGGAGGGGGTGGGGGGCCGCCGAGGCTGGTACTTCAACATTGACGTAAGTGGCACAGAGATGAATGCCGATGGCCTTCAGATCCTCGTGACCTTCCTGCGGCTTCGCAGCAGGGATGTAGGATGTCGCCCGCACTCCCTCACAGCCAATAATACTATGGTGGTTCGGCTGCAGAGTGGCATTCTGCAGACAATCATGTGTAGGAGCTTTAGCTTCGTTGATGATGCTGCTAGTGGCACGAATGGGGAACACCCCGAATAAAATGGTTGAGGATGTCGCTGAACGCATGAACGGACATCTCCATGTACGAAGCCTAGATGTAATTTTCATGCGCCTAAGTTATCTGCTCCCCTGTCCCCTATCCTTAGTACCAAAAAACCCCCAATGAAACCCCAAGCCCTATTCTTAGTACCCCAAAAACCCCCAATGAAACCCCAAGCCTCTCAGCTCCCTTTTTCTGTGCTCCCCCCTTTTTGGGACCAAAGACCCTCGGAGCCTCTGAGGAAGCGCCTTTTCGAGGTCTCCACCGGCTTCGGGGGAGCCTTTCTCTGTCGCTTTAGAGTCGGGGTTTGGGGTTTAGGCAAAAGGGTTTGGGGATGCTTGGGGTTTGGGGTTTGGGGATTCTCATGTTCTGTGGGGCTCTAGGATGAGGTCGGGACAGGGGCCTTAGGGGCATGTGAGGGGACCCCTTATTGCAAGGGCAGGAGCATGCATGCAGATGCAAATCTCTGCCGCTGCTTTGCCAGGCAGATCCTCCGGTTTGCGTTCATAGCCTGCGCTGCTACAATAATGGCGACCTCCCTGTAATGGAACGTTTTGGTCTTGTGGACGCAAAAGCACATCTCTCGGACACGTGGCCGTTGACACTGTGCCTTGTCTTGCTCACTTAGACCTGGGTGATACGGGGGCGGAGCACATTGCCGAGATGATCTTGGCCCAGCCTTTTGCTGTGTACGAGCTCCATTTGAGCGACAGCAGGAGCAGAACCTGCAGATTCTAGGAATCTGTGCGTTCAAAAACCACACATCCTACTGCCACCATGCCTTGGCCTTGACCTTCCGCAGACCCGTTTTTCTGACTTTGCTCACGTTGCTCTGCCTGCGGCCACGGCCGTCTCTTGATTTCCTCACATCGTCGCTTGCAGGATGTCGGAGCTAGGGGCCGCAATGGTGATCTTGTCCGTCTGTGTGGCGACTGATCGGTATCCGTTTCAAGTGAAGCATCGGTGGAGCCTCGGCAGAACATGGCGCCATCGCCTGTGTCATGAAATGTTGAACATGCAGTCGGTTCAGCAAATATCAAGTGAGTTCTTGCTTCCCGCCTAGATAAGGACTGGATGCTGGATGCGTGGGGCTCTTAAACGCTTGACACACTGCCTGCATGTCAGAGGTAATGCGGGTTTATTCTAGCTTTGTGTACAGGACTCGAGAACAACTACGTCAGTGCACCGGATGCGCTGCTAACTGCCATGCGAGCGGCAATGCCGAGCAATGAATGGAGCGAGCCCGCGGTGCGGATCGAAAGCATTGCGGTCGCCTCAGCTTGCCAGGTCAGGCTGTTCACTGGGCTTGTTGCTCGAGCCTTGTGCCGGGCTTTAGCCCAAAGAGGGGAAAAGCAACGGCCGAACCGGAACAGTGGTGAGATTCCAAGCAAGCGATGGAAGTCTGAAGCTGCCCTCCCAATCATGCTTGCGAAGACCCCGCGTTGCAAGCCTCAACACAGGTTGCAAAGGTAGCGTTTCGGATCTTGCATTTCAGTATCCACGAAGCTGTTCGCACGCAAGGTCCGTGGGGACCGAACATGGGGACGGGCTCACGGTCCTAGCTGGGCCACGTCGGCCGAGGCCGAGGGCTCAAAGCGGTTGGAGGATTTGGGAGTTCGGACGAAGGACGAAGGACCCTCGCGGCAAAGATAGATGAGATGCAGCTTAGGTGGTGAGATGTGTGATAGTCAACCGTCAGCTGACTGCACAACAGCTGCCGATGCCAGGTGACCCCGCAAGCTTTGTTGCCGCGTGGCGGCACGATGCAAGTCCCGGATAGCTATAAGGTCAGGGTTTGGTGCGCTTGGTGACCCGGACATGCGAGAACCGAGCCGCTTGCATCGTCTTCCTCTGCGGCATGTTCGTCGCGATCCTGTCTTTCTACCTTCGACTAAGCAGTCCTTGTTGGATTCATTCGTCGCAGTGACGGTTGATTCTGCATCAGCCAGAACCTAGCAGCTTTCTGACTCTGAAAGACAGCTGGGAGTGACCTGGGGTTGGGATTTAACCTACGATTAGACTCGGACATCGAAAAAGCCCCGTTGCTCGAGCTTTCCCGTTATGCAGCATCTCCTTCCTTTGAAAGATCACTGGTCGATTGTTAATTATTGCAGATCCAATCTGGCCACGCAGCGATCTCTCTTTCGCTCTCCTGCGCATTTCTTATCGCTCATCGTCAAAACTCTGCCGGGGATGTAGACACAGTATACCACAATAGACTGACGAAAGCGAAAGCCTGGCAGTTTTATCTAGAATCTAGATGCTTCCCATAGCAGAACTCTTGAAGCCAGATTGGTCGCAGGTGCATGTTTCGGGCACCGAGGTATACATTTGATGAGCAGAAAGGTGTGATGAGTGCTGGCTATGGGAAGAAGGACTCAGTTTCTGTTCCTTGAGCATGTGTGATCGCCTCCTGCCTGCCACGTTCGGAATTACCGGAGCAGAGGAGAGCGCTGCAGTCATCCGAGCAGCACGACGTTCCGCGGAGAGTGCACGTGAGGCTGCTGAAAGCCTGGGCTGTGGAGGGAAAGCTCTCGTGGCCGACCGAGGGCGGATCAGTTAGGTTTGCACCTTGCACCGGTGTTTGGTGGACATATTTTCGCCCGCTTCGTCTTGTCCTAGCGAATAGACTGGAGGCAGTGTTGGAGATGCACAAGAGGATCTGCGGTGATGATACACCAGAAGGCCATGCCAAGTCTTGGGTACATCTCGCTCTCTTGCTCTCACCAAATTCCCCAAAACCTTGGATAGCAGGGGCACGTAAGAAAG